CAGAAAGGTATGGCTCAAGCCTGTGGAGCTGAGATGCTACAGGTATTCCTGCGCTCACTACTTCTACTTGCAGAAAAAGCCTTAGCAGCCAGGCACACAGCGTCTCCAATACCCAAAGAATCCGTTACGATGCGATGCTTGCTTGCTTTTTCTGCCTCAAACCAAGTTTCCTCTGAGGAATTTAAAATCTCCGCCTTTCCCGCGACCCTATGCCGGCAGAGCCCAGGCGCCTGGCCGGTCACCAGGCGGCCATTCCCTGGGCGCGCCGCTCCGAGACGTCCCCGCCGATCAGCGCTGGGCGTCCGAGTCAGCCAAGGACGCTTCCACTGTCTCAGGGGAAATAAGCACAGATAAAAGCCCCGGACCAGATAAACTTTTAACCACACAAAGGGAACGATACGCCCATCAGCCTCACCTTCCAAGGCAGCAACTGCATTTCCGTACTTTGTCTTTTACCACAAACAGACACGCCTGGCCTCGCACAAGCACAGCCGCGCGCCCCCGCGGCAACCCGGCCCTGTCCGGCGCTGCGCTCGCCCCCAGGAAGGCCACTGTGAAGGCGGGCGGCCGGACGCGCCCTCAGACCTTCGCCCCCGGGCGAAGGAGGCCCGCGCACCGACCTGCGACACCCGAGAATCCCGGGACTCGCGACCAGGCTCCGAGGAAATTTCTGACGGCCAGCCAAACGCTGCGCCTTCCCCTCTGCCAGCCTAGTGCGGCACCCGCTGCAGGTGCTGGGTGATCCGTAATATAGTCCCGCCAGCATGAAAGATGGCGTCCAGGCCGGCCACCTTCCGTCTGCGCACGCTCCGTGAGTCCAATACCCCACTGTCGTTGGCCAAGCCGGGTGCCATCCTCTCGGTGGGTGATAGAGCAAGCCAATCAAGGGCACGGACGCCAGATGGCCACGCCCCTCGGATCAGCTGAGGGATCCGGGATGTCTGTTGACAGCGGCAGCGGCGCGGCCGGTTCCGGGTTCGGCGCGGGCAGGAGGTGAGCGGCGGGCGCGGG